TATATATATATATAGTGTGTGTGTGTGTGTGTGTGTGTGTGTGTGTGTGTGTGTGTGTGTGTGTGTGTGTGTGTGTGTGTGTGTGTGTGTGTGTGTGTGTGTGTGTGTGTGTATGTGTGCGTGTGTGTGCGTTCGTGCGTGGGTTGTGTGTGTGCATGCAAGCCTACATGTATGTACGTGCAAGTATAGCAAGTATCTATAATTCTTACCGATGAGAAAACCATGGACAGTTGTCCTGTTGGTATGCTCAGTATCCACTTGTTATTTTCATACAGATCTGTGTAAGCGGCCTTCGCGCTACTGTATGCTGGACAAACTGTTAATCAAACATAACAACGATATATAAATACACATATATATGTACATATAGAAGATTACATCTAATAATTTAATGATATATTACTTCTTATATATATTAACAGAAAATAAATAACTTGATTGCAGTGAAACCACTACCAATTTTGCCGTTCTATACTTCCAAGCAAAACGATTGCAAGACAGCGAAAAATGGCAAAGAATGGTCGGACGCACGTCATCTGCCACGCGTAGCCTACGAATATACGAAGATTCTTTTACCTAAACACCGGAAAAATTACCTGATTCAATATCAATCTGCGTGTATGGAGAAACACATGGGCATTCATTGGCGTAATATAGGCAAGATGTCTTTCTTTCTTCATTGCCAGCTACACTATCGCAGGTTGGACTTGGAAGGTTCTGTACAGTTGCTTGTCTGCGACGACGACGTTTCCCAAAGCCTGGCAACAGTGAACGAATTATGAATGGCAAATGGATTATGCTGCCGTACGTATATGTGCGTACGGAAGTGATGAGGATTGCAGTGAGCAGAGGCGTGAAAAATTTACACTATAGACATTTAGTTGAAATATTGAGGAGTTATTGAACTTTTTTTTATCATTCCATATACTTCCTGTAGAAGGTGTAAATCCAGCTTTAATTACATGCGCTTCGTTTAGTAGTTAGCAGTATAATGAATGCACGTCGTGTCTGCTAAAGGCTGCTCGATTTTTGGTTGATTTCGTATGACGTTGTTAGTGGAATTTTTCATCATATCTGGTAAGCCGCTATTGTGCATATTTGCTCCGCAGACACGTGATAGTAGTTTGTACCATTAGCATGAAAGATTTTACCTCCAAAGAAATCCCCGACTTTACTGCCAATATCACCAAGCCCGCGTCCTATGTCTCCGCCGAAGTCAGCGATGCCACCGCCAATGTCTCCAAGCGTATCACCAATATCAAAGTCAAGGACGTCGCCGAGGTTGTCTCCAATGTCACCGAAGGCGTCTCCAATGCCACCAATAGCACCAGTGAACGAATCGCCAATGTCCGAAAATATATCTAGGTCGCCCAAATCTAACAGAAATAAACAGAATTCATTCATATGGACAGAAATGGAAAAAAACGGATTATAGTGCCGTACGTATGTAACACCGGTGTACTAGGTGTGGTTATGCTGTCTTAGCACACGTTTGTCATTTTACGTCACCAAAACACCGTTGTTATGGTATTTAACTATAATAGGCGTACCATCGTTATTATTGGTGTGAAGCTCTTTCTTACCAGTACAGTGCTCAAAATGAGCTCTGTTAACTAAATACGCAATTACGCTGATAACGATTAAAACTATATTATTTGTTTCATATTTTCCCACTGCAGAATAGATTATCTAACGATGACAATCACGCGCGCTTGTGTGCATGTGTATGTGTGTATACGTGGGTGCGCGTGTGCGTGTAAGCGCGTGTATGCGCTCGCGTGAGTGCTCCTGTGCGTGTATTTGTATCTGAAAAGACATCCCTGAAAGTATCGCCTAAATCATCGACGACATCGCCAATACTGTCTCCAATATCACTAAATACATCGCCAATGTTGTCTCCAAGGTCACTTAAGGTGTCACCAACGCCACCAATAATGTCAGTGAAAGCATCGCCAATGTCCGTGAAGATATCCAAGTCGCCCAAATCTAAAATTATGAGCGCAGCCCAGATAGATTCGGCTGACGCCAAAGATCACGAATGTTAATTTTTTTACAGCAAGCTATGATTTGTTAAGGGTGCCATAAAACACGTAAATAAGACAGCAGAAGAAGATAGAATAAGATTCTTTATCTGATAGAGGCCATAGAGAGAAGAGCATAGATAATCACTGGAAGGAAAAGCCGAAGACTTTTGGAACCTATATTATCGGATTGAAAACGAACAATATTGACTGCCCATCAGAAAAATCCAACCAGCCACATATCAAACTAGGTAAGACGACAGTCCAAGACGCTGTGCAAACTCTACTAGTTTGAACTATAGAAATTGAATTTTCAAACATTATAGGATACTATTGGGACCTCAGATGGATACATTCAGGAATAAAGAAATCACAGTGCCCATGGTTAAAACGGTTGCGCAACGGACGAAGATGTGTAGAGAACAGAAAATAGCCAAGGCACAAAAGGCGAGGTACCCAACAACGCCGAGGCTAGTAAGACTAATTTAGAAGAAACAGTCCTGTAAACCTATTATCTATCAATGGTGCTGATCATAATTTGCGCATGAAATTTATATTTGCGCCTTATTACGATTGAACGATTGTGATATTTTTGTCATGTTCTTAATGCGTGTGTGCGTATGATTGCGTGCGTGCGTGCGTTAATGCGTGTTATATGTGCGTATATGGTGTGTGTGTGTGTGTGTGTGTGTGTGTGTGTGTGTGTGTGTGTGTGTGTGTATTACTTGACAGTGTATATATGTGTTCTGTTGTCAGGTGTCACGCGAGGGCAGTGCGTGTGTGGGACGTGTGTATGTAATCAGGATTACACTGGAACGCGCTGCCAATGCCCTGCATCTAAAGACACGTGCATAGCTAGCAATGGGGTAGGTGTAGCGAATACTACCGCAATGTCTCATTCTTGTCAATCCCACTAACTCAAGGCCAAAACATCTGCCGATGTCCGATTTATTCATTATAGAAATATAATATTGAAAACTCACATCCACTTTATACAAGTATAAATTTTGGATTAAATTTATCTTTATTATTAAAACATGCTATTAAAATGGGTCGCAGATTTAAGCATACAACCGCTGTTAATTCGAAGCGATAGACTATGTGATAAGACACTGCTTGGTGTGACACGAGCGAAAGAAACCTCTAATCGGCGTTTTAAACACTGTGAAAAAATGTGCTATACGTGTTTTTTGACCCGATTATATTTGGTGGAACCGTGAACCACAAATCATCTCCTTTCCGTTATCCACGCATAGAAACTGTGCAATGGACCGGGTAACGAATGTACATGCGACGGAGGAAGGTGGCGATGCAAATGTGAAGAGGATTCAAACTTCAGAGGACCAACATGTGAAGATTGCCCGGTAAGATAACGCTAACAGTGACGGTAATGATGTCGATGTCATTGACAATGGTGATAGCAGTGACGAAAATAGTGAGGCTAATATAATGTCACTGACCATGTCAGTGACTGTAACCGTGACGTTGACGCTGACACTAATATATCGATAGCTACGGCGTTGATGTCATATATAACTGCTGCTATGTAATCTGCTATGTAATTGCTACGTGAAGTACAAATATTAAACATTCGCACAGTGTCGTCGTTTGTCGTCGACTCTATCAAATTTAGTTTTTGTTTCTGTTATTATTTCTTTTCAAATTAATAATGAATCTACTGCAATCCCCAGTTTTAGTGTGTTAATTTGGTGAATGCAAAAAGACGCTCTCCTTCTTCGTTTGAGACTTTTAGACTACAGTCTACTATAGAAATTACATATATTGAATCAAAGTTGAGTTCTCGAAGAAACGTTGAATAATTCAACGTTGAAACAACGTTGACATTTGCATTTTGATTCAATTTGCCAAACAAGTCCAATCTTTTCACCGCGTCATTTTAGTGTCGATTTCTGACGTTATTTCAACGTTATTTCAACTACATTTTGTCAGCTAGGTAACGTCGATGCGTTCACTAACGGTAACAATGTCAGGTTGACGAGTAACAGTGACAACAGAGGGGCAGTAATGGTGGTGTTGACGATGCTAAATAAATCCCATGGTTGTTATATGTTATAGTTATCAATAAATAATCAATAGATAATAAATAATTAAATAAATAAATGAATAAATAAATAATAATAATAATCAATGAATAATAATCAATAAATAATAAATAAATAAAATGTTATAGTTTCCATGCCAACACGTGCGTCTCGTTGTTGGCAGACGTGCGAAGGTTACTGCGAGCAGAGCAAAGACTGCGTGCAGTGCGTCACCTTCGGTACAGGCAAATACGATCAGGGAGAGTGTGACCGTGAATGTTCTACCAAAGAAATAATTCCACAAAAAACTGTTTCAGGTATTTACGCCCCCGCTCGACCAATCTCCGCGACCCTCTCTCTTCCTATCTCTCACCCTCTCTCGCTGCCTCGCTATCCTCGCTTGTCCTGTCTCGCTCTCTCTCTTTCCCTCTTCCTCTCTCTTGCGCGCGCGCTCTCTCTCGCTCTCTCTCTCTCTCTCTCTCTCTCTCTCTCTCTCTCTCTCTCTCTCTCTCTCTCTTACGCTCTCTTTCTCTCCGTTTGTCTATGCGCTTGTGTGTGCGTGCGTGGGTGTACGTGTGCGCGCGCGTTCGTGTATCCTTCTTTCTGTCAATCGCGTTCTTTTTCTCTCGTTTGTTCTCTCTCTCTCTCGCGCCATCGTCTACGTTCGAGAAATTTTGTAGATACCTACTAATTCCTACAATTATTTCATAAATAACAAAAGTAGGTGTAACTAGACCTTCCTGTAAATAAGATGAGCGTATCACGTATTTCGTACTACTTCACGAGTACCTACCATACGATACATGCTGCAGATATAATTCCCCGATACACCCGCAATTCTCACGAGTCCCACAGCGACTCGCGGGAAACGAAATCTGAACGGTTCAAGCATGTTGGTCGTATAAATGCGCGATGGCAGCCTAGCTGAGTGACGCTCATAGGGTCTATGTCCCCCGGGGTACTGCCGGAACGTACCCTGGGTACGGTCCGGTATACCGGAACGTACCATGGTAACTATTTGATATGGTTAGGGTTAGGGTTAGGGTTAGGGTTAGGGTTAAGGTTAGCGAGTAGGCGTAGGCGACTCTCTAGACTCGTTAGTGGAGTAGGCGAGGTACGGTCCGGCATATTAGTTAGTACCAGGGTACGTTCCGGTATACCGGGCCGTACCCAGGGCACGCTCCGGCAGTACCCTGGGGGACATAGACCCTCTCAGCCTGAGTGACATCAGTGCTCCGTTATTGCAGAGGACCTGTCTCCGCAAGTGAATCGCAAACTGTGCCAGTATCCGGATACGTCGAATGATGACGGCTGCTCGTTCCGGTTCACGTACGAATTCGACTACGTGTCCAATATCATCCTTAGGTTAGTGACCTATAACGATGATGCATGATCGCTGACAAATATAACCGTACAGTACCGGTGTCATTATTTACCCTGGTATTACGTATATACCGTATACGGTATACTCGTTATATATTATAATTATCCTACATTGAAGCGTTGATTACCATCAGTCTAGGACGACCCTCTCTTGTATATGTAGAGCTCTTGGTATATTATGTATAGGATTATCTCATAACTATAGGTGTACGGAGTTATCTTGTACAAGAGGATGATTTACAAGTGGCATTATATAGAGAGATGTTCAGAGTGCGGGATTATCTCTGTGGGATTATCCGATATGTGGATAAATTGCTCGTGAGATTATATCTCATGTAGGTGGAGACGTATTGTTTTGTTAATCAATACAGGGCGCAGACGACGCGGGTATGTCCGCTGAACCTGGCCGCTGTGACGGGTGCCGTGACGGGTGGCGTCATAGGTGGAATCATACTCGCTGGCCTTCTGCTGCTGCTCCTATGGAAGCTACTGACAACGGCACACGACAAACGAGAGTACGCCAAGTTCGAGAACGAGAGGCAGCTAGCCAAATGGAGAAGGGTGCGTACGGTCATACGTATGAAGCATAGTGCGTGTCTATGTTTATTTACCGACCGGAAATCTTATGCGGCGTATAATCCCACATCTACGATTTATTATCATGAATGCTAAACAAAGATGCAATCTAATTTGTGAAATGTATCTGTTAAATACGGCAATTCCAATAGTGTAACACATTCTTATTCATCATAAATAGACGGTACTACGATAGTACTGCAGGAATTCTGTGAAATTGTCACAAAAAATTACGACGCTACATAATATAGGTCCTCCAAAAATTACAGTAATACACAATCTTAGCAGCCAGAATAGCTCTTTATAGAATTCGCGAAAGCCTTCGTTATTTAGTTAGAGAATCTCAGTGTTTGCGAAACATTTCAGGAGGAGAATCCTCTCTATCACGCAGCTACGACGACGGTGCAAAACCCAGCGTTTGGGAGCTCGAACATCCAGCTGAAATGTGAAAACAGTCCGCCAACTTGTTGAGAGATGCAATAGGATTTTGTCACACTAGTTTAATATAGTCGGATGTTATTATCGGGTTTACTTCAACCGAAAATACAAAATAATGATGAATACTATATAGAACGTAATGTTCGGTAAATGCATGTATATTGCCAGTTATGGGTAAACATACCACGATTTCCTTATATATGGTGACATACATAACTTAATCAATCTGTTATTATACGAGTAAATAAATCATAATTATTATTGATATAATAGTGCTGTTATCACTATGATGCTAGTGTCCGTTTCTTGTACAAAATTAGGCAGCCATTTCACAATAATGAAACACGCGGGCACACGCAAGCACGTACACCCGCACGACGCGCACATGCGCGCAGGTTTAGACGTTTATATGTTTAGTAAGTAACTTGCTCTCATTCGATTTCGAATATTCAATTCCCGATTAGAAAAATCTCTTTATTTGTATTTTTGTTATTTCTCGACAACCCGCTTGTTAAATAGTTTATGGTCTGACATCCGCCTGTTCCAAACTGAAAGACGACAACGTCATATCACTGGCAGCTTTGCTACCACACGGTTAATCATTTTCAAAACACAACGTGCGTTGTAAGGTGAATCTAACGTCAAATGAGACTAGGCTGACCGGCTGCTGTAAACAACTTGTTCACTGTTCACTGTCTAAAGTAATCAGAGCCACGTTTCGTATCAGATACATTAGAATGTTTTGAGAAAAAAATATTTTATAGAGAACATACTAAGTAATTTTTTAATTATAATAATGTGGTAGGAATTTGACAAAGCTATGGGCTTAATCATAGCTAGTGATGGAAATTTTAGTTGCTGCCGGAGTGCAATTCGTTTAGGATAATGCACGCTTAAGGAAATGCGTTTTACTGGGCAAAACAATTGCATTGAACGAGTGGATGGAGAAAGTTATTGCATCGCGTTCAACATGTACCCCTTTGTTTATACGTTGTTCAAACAGAAAAATATAACGAATTTTGCATTTTGTGAAAATAATTTTTTTTATTCATATCAAGAACGTTCAGTACCAAAATACTCACAATTATCAGCTTCCAAACAAAATTTAAAACTGCGCATCTTGGACTTTACTGAGCTGCAGAGTTACTGTATAGGTTGCGGTCACACCCAATTCTCAACTTCACCCATTTATAAAAACAGTTTGGCACGTATCAAAAACAGTTTTGTGGATCCGAACGCCCTTAGGCAAGGCACCGGTGAACAAATATAAACAGGTACTATCTAAGTAATAATAAAACGTTTACTCTCTAAGAAATAGTTTATGGTTACTACTCTAAGAAATGATGAAGTGCACTACATGAAAGAAATCGTGAACGTGATAGGCCACTTCTGAAAATGTCGTGTACCATTTATATAACTACGCCGCGTTATTATTACTACGAAATTATACTGTTCAATCGTGTCACGAAATTCGTGCGCTGTTACTACGTACGAACCAGTGCGCCTGAATGTACTGACGTACGAAGTGCGTGCATCACGGTACAAAATGCGTACATGCACTACGTATCAGAAGGCGAGCCGTGTACTACGTACGCATGGTGTCGGTGCAGGCACTGCGTACAGCAGGCCCGCGCGCGCGGTTTGTACTACCGTACGGAGTGATCCGGATCATACTGTTTTGTGCATGCCTGTACTCGCGGACACGAGGGGCGCGCGTGCTTTTGTGTACACTACCTACTCCGTAACCACGTGCGACGTGCATGCCACTCCGTACATGGAGGCGCCGCGCGGTAGACGTACGCTGAGTGGCGTTCATTTTGTAACTGTCAACAACCCATTTCTGGGCGCCTGGTGGACTTCGCGCGGATTTCAAGTTAGGGTACATTTCTCGATGTCTAAACCCAGCTGCAAGTTGGGTATATCGTGAGCACACTGAATACCGCGACAGGAGTCTGTAGTCGCTATTAAGGGTAATGTTACTTATTAACTACACAATGGATGGCCACAGTTACAATGTAGCACTTCTATGTTAGCAATTCGTCAACTTTGCCGATAATCACGAATTCGCTCGAATGTCGAATTGATGCTTTAAATGTTCGACTAGAACATGTTTGGCCAAGCAATAATTAAACCCTGCTGTTACACCACCCAACAAAACCATGATACTTTAAAAACGATATATACACTATATATACACTATAATAATAGCACCTATATATACACTACTTATAACACACTATTATATACAATGTATATACACGATATAAACTTAGCGCGTCAAGACATCTGCGTAAGGAAAACAAATACCTTGTCGCCGCCAGCTCGCCAGAGCTGCACAAATCACGGCTTCAGCGTCTTTATGAGCCAATGCTACTATTCCTGCCGCAGGAATGACTTGCGTGACTCGAGCGTCGAATGGGAGAAGCGTCAGAGCCGCCATCCTTACTGCGACCCTTTGTGACCCATGACCGTTCACGTTATAGTTCCACCGTAATCCAAGCAAACAGCGCCTTTCGCCCTAACGGTGCGTGCAACGTGCGGACAATTTAAGCATGCTAACACGGCGGCGCACCGTGGCGCCCGCGTTATAGTTCTGTATACGGGCGATTAATGTAGGCATCTTGAGGTACTTTTCGTCTTTTAATTATTGGAAACATTGATAGTCTTGTTCTTCAAGACATTACTCGCGGTCGGCCGCGCGGTTACACATGCTACGGACGGTGTCGGCGCTGGCGCGGTCTAGTTAGGTCGAACGGCGAGTGGCCGGTCGGGCGTGCTGGCGGTGGTTCGTCGGTATGTAGCATGATGTTGTTGTTATATCATTCATTAGTTATTACTTATCCTAGTATTATTATTATTATTATTATTATTATTATTCATTATTATCATCAGTGGCTGATGATGTTTGTTGTTGCCGGTTGTTGTGTTGTTGATATTTTTTTCCAAGAGTCAGAGGATCTGATAGCGCAGCCTATACAGAATCATGACGATCAATGATAAGGCTAGGTCGCTGTCGTCCCACTTTGCGAGGTGTGTGCGCTCGTGTCTTAGGACCATAAAGCGGCTCCACCTCTATACGAGCAAGTAGAAAAGGGGTA